TGTAATAGTTAATAGTCATTTTTAACGGTTTGGTTAATTTAAATTATTTAATATTAATAATTCAATTAATTAATCTATAAAATATAACAAGTATATCTATTAGACGACTATAGTTAACGATTGTAGATTAATCTGAACACCCCTACCTCTAAATGACCAAAATATGATAACACGAAAACGTAAGTATCAAAATGAAATTTTTATAAAATCGGTAACTCAAACAGAACAGTCCAAAAATAAAAGGGAGCATCGTCCATGTATCAATATTGTAGGTGGTTCTCCCGTTGACTGAGATCAATCTGCAGATGCAACTAGGATTGTAAATGAGACGAGACAGATCGCGAGCTACTCGAGATCGACTCGATCTTGGCTCGATAAATACTCAGATCGAATGGACTCGACTCGAGTTCTTAACGAGCCGAAACGAGCTACTCGATATTCGACTCGAAAAGCTCGTGAGAAGCTCGAAAAAAATGTTATATTATAATTTTAGATTTTTTAAAATTACATTATTAAAAATATATTAAAAATAGATTATTGATGAATAAATATTCTTGAATTGAAAATGGTTAAAAATTATTTTTAATAAATATTCTTATTTACTTTAAATTAATAAAAAAAATTATTTATCTAATGACAAATATTTAATATATTTCTAATTATAATATTTCTAATAACTATTTTTTAAAATTGTTGTTATATTTTGAGGTTTTGGGTTAAAATATCATAAATATCAAGGGTTTGAGCATTTAATATCAAGATATTATATTGTACTTACCTCATAACTAATTATGTGATAAGGTTTAGGATTTAGGGTTTAGAGTTTATGTAATAGGATTTAAGGTTTAGGGTTTATATGTTAGGGTTAAGGTTTAGGGTTTAGGGTTTAAGTTATGCACATGAAGGTAACTTACAAATTATGCAAAATGATGTTGTGTGACTCATAAATAAATCATTAACATACTTATACATTAACATATCAACATGCAAAATAAATATACACAACTAATTAAAGAAAACAATCCTAAACATGGACTAAATAAAGAAAAACCTAAATGTGAGGACTAATTTAAGCTAAAATTTAAACAATTGAGGGATTTTTTTGTACAAAATGCATAAATCTAGAGAGCCTAAAGCTAATTTACCCCTAAGGTTACGATGGCTAAACGATAATTAACCCCCGGAGAAGAAAAAAGAAATGAAAACAGGAATCGAAAGTCAAGAGGAAGATTAGTTTGGCTAAAAAAAAGAAGACCTTATGCTCATACTCTCTTTGTCAACGCCAATAACAACACCAACATCAGCAATGTTATTTTTATTAGATTGGATCCTACACTTTTCCCTCTCCTCTCTATTACCATATTTCTATATGATTGTTTCTTAAATGGTGCCTTTTTGTTTATTATTCTTCTTCTCTTTTTCTAGGGTTGTAGAGGCAGATGGGAAGAACAGTGATAAGGCTAAAACTATGCGATCAAAACATTCTGTCACTGAGCAGAGGAGTAAGATAAATGAGAGGTATGTGTCCATCTTTTTATCATTAGTTCATTTCCATGGAAATTGGAGGTTTTTTAGCCTTACCCTTCAACTAGTTCTCTTTGTTTAGGGAGCTAAAGTTATGACAATTGCATAAATCATTGATTGTAATGGCTTAGGATAGGTTGATCCCATGAAAGTTTTGAACTTTATTACTGCAAGGTCTACTTTTGTTATGTAAATATTGTTGCTACCTAGCTAACTCACTTAATCATGAATTCAAGATGATTCTACTGAGCTTTTATGGAAGAGATCTCTTTTTGTGTAAAGCCATCCGATTATGCTAGAAAGAAATGTTAAGTTCAGTTTATAAAACGTTTAAGTACTTGAAATGGCACTGAAATTTCGGTGCTTGTTCCATGTGAAATGACCACAAGTGCACTGAATCCTGTGGAAGTTGATCCTATCAGAGATGAAGATGCGACATCCAAAGCTATGGATCAGCAACCTGAGTCGGCGAACATGGGAATGCTATGTCAGTTTCGGGTGATAATGTGTTTGGTCATTCACTTCATAGACTAGTGTCTAAGGTTCAATCAACTTTCTTATCAGTAATGATCTTTTACTATATCTCAGATTTCCAGTATCCCACATCGGTAGTTTTAAGAAAGTTTTGCGCTGGGATATTATAAAAGGCGAGGATACTCAGGGTAAGGGCAGCTTTGTGCTGGTGCAATGACGCAGCTCATGAGGTTCTAACCGATGCGCGTCAATTGCTAGTTGAAAACTATTTTCAATTGAGCTTGAATCGAGCTCGAAATTGAGCTTGAATCGAGCTCGAAATTGAGCTTGAATCAAGCTTAGTTTCGAGTTTTAATCGAGCTTAGTTTCGAGTTTTAATCGAGCTTAGTTTCGAGTTTTAATCGAGCTTAGTTTCGAGTTTTAATCGAGCTCTTGAATTTTTTTTGAGTTTGAGCCTTTTCGAGTTCGAGTCGAGTTATAATATTATTTTTTGAGTTCGAGTCGAGTTTAAAAATTTTAAGCTCGCGCGTTTTTAAGTCGAGTTTACATTTTAAGTTTTCGAGTTCGATTCAAGTTCGGCATTATTCGAGCCTCTACACCCTAGATGCAACATACAAGGGTTTAAGATTGAGCAGTTTGGACTTCAGACTGAAGTTACTTTGTTCTGATTTCATATTTTGGTAGAGAAGCAAAGCAAACAAGATGGCGATCTCGACATCTCTGAATTCGCTCTCCATAATCCCCAAAGTCTCTCCTTCTAAACACCCAGTAATCTTCAACCTCCTTCAAACTCCATCGTCCAGAACTCGCCTCAAATTCAACCCCATTTTCAAACCCTCCTCTCTTTCTCTTTTCACCCAACCATCCAGACTCACACCCAAGACCCAATCTTTTCAAACCCCCATGATCCTATCCCTTTTCACCGGCATCGTCGAGGAAATGGGTGAAGTCAAGCAATTGGGTAAGGCCGATCATGGCGGCTTCGATCTCAAAATACTCGCCAAAACAGTTTTACAAGATGCCCACCTAGGTGACAGCATCGCCGTAAATGGAACTTGCCTGACCGTGACGGATTTCGATACTCATTCGGGAGAGTTCACGGTTGGGTTGGCTCCTGAAACTCTGAGGAAGACCTCATTGAGTGAACTGAAACCTGGGTCATTGGTGAATTTGGAGCGGGCCATCCAGCCCACGGGTCGAATGGGGGGTCATTTCGTGCAGGGACACGTTGATGGGACTGGGGTGATAGTGGGGAAAGAGGTGGAGAAGGATTCGTTGTGGATTAAAGTTAAGGCTGATAAGAAATTGTTGAAATATGTGGTGCCCAAAGGGTTTATAGCTGTGGATGGGACTAGTTTGACTGTGGTGGATGTGTTTGAAGAGGAGCTTTGTTTCAATTTTATGTTGGTGGATTATACTCAACACAAAGTGGTGATCCCTTTGAAGGAAGTTGGGCAAAAGGTGAATTTGGAGGTTGACATTCTTGGCAAGTATGTAGAGAGGCTTCTTAGCAGTGGTTTTGTTGATTCGATTAAAAGCTCGTGACCTGCAGAAAATTTTCAAGGTAAAAAGTTTGGGTTTTTCTTCTTCTGGTTTATCATTGCATCAATATCATTAGTTTATGCTTGCCTTAAGTTTGTTGCAGATTTGCGAATGAGTTATAGTTCTGTGTCGTACTGCGCTTATCCTCCCATTAATTAGTTAAGAGGTTCGGAAGTTTAGTTTAAGGATTGTACCAAATGGTAAAATAATGCAGCAGATAACAGTTTCTATATTTAGGATTAGAAAGATGTTAATCGTTTACTGGTATTGATTTTAACACAGTAGTATACATGTATATTGTTTTGAAGGGACACAGGTAAGGGCTTTGGTGCCCTTTGTTCTTACACCCACCCGCACACGTTTGTATATATATAGGGGCGGTTCCAATGGGGCAGGCAGTGGCCTTGGTTCTGGTTATTGTTAGGGAAAAGATTGGTAAAACTGAGCTTGTTTCCTTTCTTTTCTTGTCTCCATGACCTCTACCAAAGGGGATGTTAATGTTATATTGAATATCAATGATGCTTTCTTGGCGTGAAATAGTATATACTGTGGTGATGTGTAAATTTGAAGGAAAAGAAGAACAAGAATTTCAATTTTAATCATCCAGGAATAAGCACATCAAGTGTCTGCAGTTGCTTTAATTGTTAGCCCTTTAAGTCTTTTGGTTTCCGTTCATGCATTTTTTTGATGTTGTATTTACCATCTTTTGCTTGCTCTAAATAAACTGCCTATCTGAAACACCATTCCTATTGCAATTTCTTTCGTTTATCTTTAGATCAAAAAAGATGCAGTATGTATAGATTAACATGTAGCATCTGTTAATTAAGTTGTTTTGTACTCAGACGATCACTACAAGGTGTATTCGTGTTTATGCTTGTTTAACTGGAGAATGTAACTACCTTGTCAATCCTGATCTCAACACCCCTGTTCTGGTTTTTCAGGTGCTCTAAACATCAGAGAAAAAATTGAGAACTCGAAGTCCAAAATGTAAAGTAAAATTTCAAAATCTGGAATCCAAAGGCAAGAAGCTTCGTATTGTTGATCGTTTGATATCAGCCAAGTGTACTTTTATTAGGGGATAAGCTTCATAACTAGAACTTTTTCAGCATCTTGGGTTAGGTCTACTACTTCAACCGACTGACATTCAATAAAGTTGCAGTTGTCTTGGTACATTTTTTTTTCATTTTTGAATAAAAAATAGAATTCTGGCTTATTTATGGAGATTGATTGGATCAACAATATGTATTTGGTCCCATAGTTGCGCCTTTCATGCTGCTTAAAGTAAAACATGTGAATTCTGTTTGGTTTCTAGCTACAGTAATTAAGATCATAGAGAATCCTTAATTCCGAAGACCAATAATGTTATCACTTGAAAGAACATGAAAAACAAGGAGCTTATCTTATAGGGTTTAACATCATAAGTTGCATATAAAAGTAAATGACAATAATGAAAATTAGCTCAGATTATTGTTGCTTGGTAATTGGAAAAAAAACTTCAGAAACAGCTACCAGTTGGTTTTTTTTGGAGGGGGGGGTGGTTATTTCAAGTGACGGTATTGATTCAAATGATAAGGCCCGTTTATTTGCTGATATACATCATCAAACCTCAGAGAATGTTGAAGTTTGATGGTCCGATAGTGTCGACGAATCCCCGTACAGATAGCTCAGGTACAGACATCTTTGTACCAGACGATTCATGGTCTATGAAGATGACAACCACCGTAATATCGTCATGGAAAAACCGTCGAATCCCTTTATCGACCTTCTTAAGATCATCATATCTCATCTCCCTTTTCCTTGCTGCCTCACTTAAAGCCGTTTTAACAAGCCTTCTTGCAATTCCCTAGAATTTTTTGGGTAGGAAACAGGAGAGCGAAATAAGAGACTTAAAAGTTCGATAGTAAAAAGCCAATGCACTGAAAATGGAACTTACTGCTCGTGGATATTTATAAACTATCTCGATTGCCTGCTGATTTGTCAAATGTTCCCAAAGTCCGTCGGACGCGAAAATGAGGAACTTATCACTTGATTGTAACACTCTGGTGCACAAGGATGGTTCTGCTGTTAACACAGGTCGACGAATGGGCTCGGAAAGGTGAAATCGCGGGAAAGAAGGATCAAGAGAAAACTCAGGCCGCTTCAAGTATGCATCTCCTATAGATCTAGATACCTGATATCCGTTCATAGTAATTCAAGGTAAACACAAAGAACATAGAAAAGTCAAAACACAAAATGTATTGCTAGCAAACTAACATCAAATCGACCTCCAAGTGAGGATCAAGAGAAATCAGACTTTTCGAAGATAAACGTTCATATCAACTACAATGCACACAAGCTTACTGAATGTGCTTAGTGTATCATACCAGTCAAAACAATGAGTTCTAGAAAAGTGGAGTATTTCCCAAATGGATTACATTACAAAGATAGTTCGAGCTAAATCCATTGAGTGACCTCAGTGGTAAAAAGGAGGGTTATTCTCCCTAAGTCTTGGGTTCAAGCAGTTGTGTTTGTAGGGTGTGTGCACGTTGTTCACCGGCAAACGCAGGCCGCCATCAGAGGAGCAAACAAAGAAGAAGCTTGAACTTACTTGTTCAAGGATGTAATCATCGCAAACAATCTTATAACTAAGCAAGCAAATTATGCTTCAGTTTGCTTATGTAAAGAGATCCAATTAAAAAGAAAAAGAAAGTATACCTTCTTTTGTTTGTGTGTCCTAGTTGTGGTCCCCATAAATAACAGCATATACATCATAGCATAAAACATGGAAATCAGATGATGGAGAAAAGTAACCATACCTGAATGATGCCCTTAATACGCCATACTCCATGCTTCATAACAACAATATGAGAATCATCTGGATGCAATGACCTGAGTTCCTGTCTCACCTCCTCTATACTTGCATTATGATCTCTAGTCAACTGCTCAGCAACTATCTTGTTCGATCTACCTAAATACCCAATTACAACTCGAGAATCGCCCAAATTAGCAACGTATAACGTTCCCCTCCATATAACTCCAACCAGACAACAAGATCCTATTGCTGCGATTAATGGTTTTATTCCGCACGACCTACGTACAAGATTCAGAAACTCATCTTCGGTTGCAGAGAAAGCACTTTTAAGTGTATCTTCAGAGATGGTTCCATCTGCTCGAGCAAACCCTGTTGAATGATACATCAAATGAATTACATAGCAATAAAAATCCGTAGCTATAAAAGCATCCAATACAAACTAGATGGCTAATGTACTTCCAAAGTAAGACCACAATACATACTCCTCGTTATAGGCTCCACCAGGCAGTAAAGAGAACTAGCAACTATAGAGCCATGAGCATATTCTAATGAATCTTATTCGAATATCACTCTTCTCTTTGATTATCATAAAGAACCAAGGTCCACTATCAAAGGAAATTAGAAAAATGAAATGAAAATCGGGCTTCTCCTTTGTCATTTTGATGACGAAATATCCGGTCCCAGGTATATTCTGATGAATCAAATTCGATACTCTTGATTTGTTTAGCAGATATTGAGCTTTCAGAGTCAACTTTAAGTTGCTTTGTTTGTTGCAACTTGAAGCCACAACAATTTTATATTAGAAACAAAATTTACATTTACCAAGTTGGAATTCCAAATAATATCCAAATCAAATGTGGCATCGCATCATTTTATCAGTAAAGTCCAAGAAAAACAGACAATCAGACAAATTTTTACAATCAAATGTGAAAAAAGGAAACAAGCAATTATATTTACAACAAACTCATAACAATCAATAAAATTCTAAACAAAAGATGATTCAAGATGGCTTAAAATTCATATAAAGTACAAGAAAAATATCCAATTTTTAATTTTCTTTAAAAAAATAGATAAAGTACAAAAGCCCAACGCACCAGTCACAGAAATCACAACATAATTAATTAGCACCAATTAAAAAATCAACAGGAAAAGAAAAAACTAGTCCTCTAAAGTAAAAATCATTTGCAAAATCAAAAGATAGCAAGAAGAGAGAAAATAAGAAAATTGACAAACGAAGAAGAAGAAGAAGAAGAAGAGAAGTTACTAATAAAGTTTTGAAAGAGATGATCGGAGATAAAGCGAGAAGCATCAGGGCCGCCATGTCCATCGTAGACACCAACAAAAGTAGCATCTTTGCCGGTCTCAACTTGACTATGATCTTCAATGATCTCATTGGCTTGAACAACAGCAAATGAGAAATCACCATAAGAGTGTTTCTCAAGGTCTCTACACCAAAGAAGTGAATCACGTAAAGATGAAGAATCTTCTTCAAGCTCATTATTACTGGTGTTGTTATTATCCTTGTTCATACGGGCATATCGACTCACTGGTCCCCAACAAGCGAAAGCTATCCTTGCTAACCATGAAAACATCCCTCATTTCCTTTAAAAACAATACCCTTTATTAAAAATCACTTCGGAATAACAAAAGGTCGAAACTTCAACTAAAAAAAGGGGCTTTTCAAGGTACGGATAGTGAAAAAAATTTAGAATCCCACTACGGTTTGCTATCAAAGGAAGTGAATTCCGATCTGGGTTTCTTGAAACAGCGAGGAACGTCCAAAGAATTGATGAGTTTTAAAGGAGTGGCTGTTAGAGAGATGGATCAAAGAAGAAGAAGAATTTGATGGATCAGGGAGACATAGAAACAGTGGGAGGAGAGTTCTAAAGAGGAAAGACCCACATTTTGGGGGATTTGTGAGAACTGAGAAGCAACTGGAGATTTTCTTCTTCTTTTTTCCTTTTTAATTTCTCTGCAGCGAAAGAAAAGTTGACGAAGCCTATGAGCAAATAGCAATGCTTTTTCTTTTTTAAATAAATAAAACAGAAAGTTGTCTTTTTCAATCGTTTTTCTTTTCTTTCTTTGTAAAATCTTGGGGCAGCAATTACGATAATGCCATCAATATTCAATATCAGATCTGGGACCCTCTCCTTTTCTTTTTCTTTTCTTCCCAATTCTGGCTGGGAATGTAAAATCATTTATAATGATTCATTTATTTTACCGAAAACGTTTTTTGAAAAGTATATTTATAAGGTAAATTATATTTTTTTAAAAATATTTTTTAAAAATTATTTTATGATGTTTAAAAAAGATTGTTTAAATTATTTTTTCACTAATTGATAAATTTTTAAAAAATTATTTATTATAAAATAAATAAAATAAATAATATTATTTATCATAAAATTTAATATTATTATTTTTAAAATATTAAAATAATTTATTTATTATTAAAATATTATTTTTATAATTTTATTAATAAAAATATTATAAAGTATATTAATTATTTATTAAAGTAATAGTGTTATATTATATTTTGAAAATATTAATTCGCATATTTTAAATATTTTTATTAAAATATTATTATATTAATATTAAATATATAAATAATATTATTCATTATTAATAATTTAATAATATTATTTCTATGAAATTAATAAATAATATAAATTTTATTAATAATTTATTATATATTATTAAAATAACAATATAATATCTTATATTATTATAATATAATTGATTATTTTATTATAATATTAAAAATATAATATTATATTATTATTAGAAATATTAATAAATATATTTTAAATATTTTAATAATTAATATTTTGATTAAAATGATATTAAAATATTTTATTAATATTAAATTCATAAAATAAAATTATTTTGAGTATTTATTCTTTGAAGTGAAAAGTTTGGAAAATGACTTACAGAAAATCAGACCGTAAGTCATTTTTCAGAAAACACAAAAGAAATTATGTTGACCAAGAAAATGTTTTACGTTAAACAACTAGTTTTCCTCCAACCAAACACTGAAAAATGAAGAAAACATTTTCCGGAAGACCCTAAATTTAATTTTATTTAAATCTAAATCTTCTCATCATATTTTGATACAAGATCTCAAGTTTTAAAATTGCGTAAAATGGACTATATAGATCCATTGATAAATATGAACATGTTATGCTAATGGAATACATTTCCTTTAATGTTATTAAATTACATTTCTTTGAAACAAAGCCTACCCTATTTTTCTTTCTTTGCCATTAGTGTAGATCCTAATGTTTCACTAGTTTTGCTACATTAAATCATTATTTTGGAGGATAATTTATTAATCATAAATAATAATAAAAACACTTTTTTACTAATATGCAACGGCAAAAGAAATAAATATTTAAAAATAAATATTTAAAGCCTTTTGAGTGCGTTTAGTGTATGAATTTGAAAGTATTTATGTTCAATATAATGGAAGTGTGAAAGTAAGAAAATAGAACAACATATAAGTAGAATGCAATAATGGTAAAAGGAGATGTATGTTTTTCTTCAAAATATATAAAAAGAGATGTATGTATTTCTTCATAATATATAGAAAGAGATGTATGTTTTTCTTCATAATATATAGAAAGGGAAGTTCTACGGTGTGACACCCTTAATATACGGCTAAAGAAAGGCTCTACCGATTTTATTATTAATTTTTTAACAAAACCGGTAAAAAATTACCTAAAACATTATTATTTTTACCTAAAATATTAATATTTTTTTAACAAACCCAGTAGCGTTTTACCGGATTTGTTAATAAAACTGGTAAAATGCTCAATAATAACAAAACCGGTAGAAATAATAATGTTTCTGGTAATTTTTTTATCGGTTTTGTTAAAAAAATAATAACAAAACCGGTAGAACTTTTTTTTAGTCATATATTAAGACTGCCGCACGTGATCATTTTCCTATTTTCCATAGACTAAAAAGGACCCAAAATCATGCAATTGTGACTTGTTCACAACTGTTGCAATAAATTATAGAGATCACCATCAAACCCAAGTGAACCATCAAACTCAAGAGAGTCAACTGCTCATCATTTCTAGGGAAGTTCTGCTGTGATATGGTTAAAATACGGCTAAAAATGACATGATTGGTTAAACAAGTGACTGATTAAAATCGATACCATAAATGTTATATGATTTAACAGGAAATATTATTTGAGTTGGTAATAAAAACAATAATAACCGGTTATGTTATCGTCCTATGTAAAATACGCCAAAAAAATATAGACGATAACATAACCAGTTAATTACTGTAAACATTATCAAACATAATAACATATTAGGTAGCGCTTATATAACGTAATAGGTAGCGCCTTTTTAAAGCTGATGGGGCTTTGAAAATCAGACGATAACAAAATATGTTAATTAATTAAGTTGTTATTATTATTATCAACATATTAGGTAACGCCTAAAATGTTACCAAAGTTTAAGCTGATAGAGCCTTAGAAATTCGACGATAACATAACCGGTTAATTACTTGAAACATTATCAAGCATGATAACATATTAGGTAGCGCTTATGTAATGTAATAGGTAGTGCATTATTAAAGCTGATGGGGCCTTAGAAATCCGACGATAACAAAATAGGTTAATTACTTAATTTGTTATTAGTATTATCAACATATTAGGTAACACCTAAAATGTTACCAAAGTTTAAGCTGATGGAGCCTTAAAAATCCGACGATAACATAACCAGTTAATTACTGGAAACATTATCAAGCATAATAACATATTAGGTAGTGTTTATGTAACGTAATAGGCAGCGCATTATTCAAGCTGATGGGGCATTAGAAATCCGACGATAATAAAATAGGTTAATTAATTAATTTGTTATCAGTATTATCAACATATTAGGTAACACCTAAAATGTTAACAAAATTTAAGCTGATGGAGCCTTAGAAATCCGACAATAACATAACAGGTTGATTACTTTATTTGTTATCAAGCTTTATCAACATATTACCATGTACATTGTTTACGCATATTATCATGATACCGATTTACTTTAACCATTTTTATTGGAAATTAATCTATTACTTTAAAGTAATAGGTTTCGAAATTATAAGTATGAATATATATGTTTGTTTGTATGTGTATGTGTCGATACATTTTACGTGCAGATTGTTTGAGCCTTTAAGTGGAATTAACAAAGTTAAAGTTGATGGAGCCTTAGAACTGACGATAACATAACCGGTTAATTACTTGATTTGTTATCAAGTTTTATCAATATGTTACCGTGTACATTGTTTACTCATATTATAATGATATCAAATGACTTTAACTGTTTTCATTGTCAATTAACCTATTACTTAAAAGCATTAGGTTTCGGAATTATAAGTATGTAAAATATGTATATGTGTGTGTGTGTATCGATACATTTTACGTGCAGATTCTTTGATCTTTTATGTGTAATTAAAGTATCGAGACCGATATAACAAAGTAATGATACATATATAAAAGTTTACGTTATTATCATTACATAGGTATAATTTTACCGTGCGCCTTGTAAATTTAACTATTACTTCTACAAAGCTCTTTATATATGGGTTATCAGAATGTTGGATTTATACATAAAGAAATCTACAATGCACTTGAAAGAGGTAAAGCAAAGGAAATCATCAATGGGTTTCAATGCACTAATTGGTTACTTTTAACCGATACATGGAGTATCGATACTTGGACCTTTCCATATGTTTCCTTGTATCGTGTACTTGAACCTTGCCAAACAGTATGTAGAATAGAGTCTCCCACAAGCCGTGGCCAGATTTAGTTCTATAGTTGGGATTATCTAGGTTAATCATGTTGACTGCATAGTCAATAAAATCCCCTTGCAGGGTCCAAATGGTAAGCTAAGAATTGGTAAGACAAGCTTTCTTTGAGGGTTTAGGGACTGAACCCCTCATACTTAAGGAGTGCATGATTGAACATTACATATAATAGTTGTATTCAGTTCTTGAAGAATTGTTCTTCATTGTATATAAGGATAGTTGTAATGATATACGTTCACGTTTCAAAACCAATAAGTTAGATGCATGTAGTACCCTATATCCTCGAGGCAGAGGACAAGAAATCTGACACTTAAATATTTACCAAGAGCGGTAGCTTCTACTCTATATGAAGACTGAACCTAGAATCAACTTCGACATTATGCCTATACTACTAAAGAGAACCTACTGAATGAAGGGATTTGCATACAACCACGAGCATTTTATGGGAAACCCAAAGTATGGGTTAACCCGAACATTTCTATTGCAGATTTTTTAGCGGAGTACTTGGGATTTCCAATAAAATGCTCACAGTTGTATGCAAATCCTATCATTCTGCAGGTTATCTTAAGCAGTATAGGCATAATGACAAAGTTGATTCTATGTTCGCTCTTCATGCAGAGCAGAAGCTACCGCTCTTGCTAAATCTTTAAGTGCCATATTTCTTGTCCTCTATCTCGAGGATATTGGGTAATGCATGCATCTAACTTATTGGTTTCGAAATGTGAACGTATATCATTTAAGATATCTTTATATACAACGAAGAACAATTAAAGAAATGAATACAACTATTGTATTTAATGTTCAATCATGCAATCCTTACCTCGGATGGGTTGAGTCCCTAAACCCTCAAAGAAAGATTATCTTACCAATTCCTGGCTTACCATTTGGACCCTGCCCTTCGAGTTTTATTGGCTATGTATTCAACATTATTATCAGCTTCCTGCATCATTTGGTATTCAGTCATACTGTCAAGATTTGAAATTTGTAATCAATTAAAAGTTATTAAATACTTTAATCCATTTACCATTTCAAGAATAATTACATAAATACATTGATACTTACTAGAAGTACATATATCCACCCAGTGGTTGATTTCGATTTTCTTCAATGTTGATACTCTCGGGCTCCATTTAAAGGTCATCATCTTCGCGAACAAAGATTAAACTTTCAACCTATAATAAGTTCATTTCAAGGTCATCATCT